GGTCTTTTTCTTGTGAATCCTTGTCAAAAGAACCAATTTAAATCGACCGTGATTCAATGTTGCGACGGAGTCGATGCTCTACATGGGCATCGTAAACATTTTCTCAAACACTGATTTAGTGGAAACTCTGAGGGAGCCGGCAAATGATTTTATGGCTTTTTGAGTATATTTAGCCGCTACAAGGACAGTCGATATCAGAAAGCTCTCTCGGCTAATGAACAGAAAACACTTCTGGCGCCGCCGTGATTTGCCATTCAGATTCCACACCGTGTAAAAAGAAGAAAAAAAAACACTCCTTTTTCTGCTCATTTCAAGTGTTATGAAACATCCGGCTGGTTGTCTTCATAAGGAGCCTGTTGTGTGGGTGGCAGTGAGCCAGGTCGGGTCCAGGTGAGGTGTCGGGTGGATATCACCTTTCCTGTCCAGCTGACGGCCGGCGCTGCCTCCAGAAATGTTTTATATTATTGAAAATGTCGGGGTGACGCACACAAACGACCAGACTGGGCTTCAGGAGTTCTGTTTGGCTGCTGCAGCGTTAAACGTTCGGGAGTCGAGGAATCACACGCTGATGTTCTTTATTATGGAGCACAAACTAGTGCAGGTGACGCATCGGTCATTAGAGCGATCGTCCTCTCTCAGAAATAACCCGAGAGAACAGACGCCGTGGAGTGTTTGAAGGGAGGAGGTTCAGCAACGGGCAAAACATCCATATTTAATGTCGTCAGGGCTGAAAATTCTAGTAGCTTCAGTAAAAAATAAAGCTAGCTGGACTTTTCTCTCAGTTCTGGAAGTGAAGACGTCTGTTGGATTGAAGGTGAAACATCTGCTGTAGTGATCATTTGTGTCTTCGTTGGTCCTCGGCTGCTGGTTTCTGTGTTTCACTCTATTGATTAGAACGGCGGACACAATAAATGTCATTACTGCAAATATCCTGCTGCAGAGAAACTGGAAACACATTCCCTGAATTCTAATTCTCATGATGTTTTTCTGATCCTACAGTAGAATCAAACCTTTGTGTGATGTGGATCCATCCCGTCTCCATGTCAGGATCATTTAGATGATTTACTGATGGTCCTCTTCGTGGTCGGTCCAGATGCTGCAGGAAGTCTCCAGCGGTCCACTCCGGACCAGCAGTACCGCGTGTTCCGGACTTGTGTTGGAAGTGAAGTCCGATGTTTAAAGTGAGTCGGACCCACCGAGCCGTCCTGGGTCCCACCGAGGCGATCTCTGCCGGTTCAGAGCTGTGGCTCGGCCCGGCACGTCCTGAGGTAATGCGGCTCCTAATGGAGGGATTGATCCGTTTTATCAGAGACTAATTGAGAAAAATGGAGTGTTGCTGCTCACGGAGCGAGTTTCTGAGGAACCGGTCAGAGGAGCTGCTTCAGACACCAGACGCACAGATTTAGAGTCTCTGAGGGGCCTGCACGGATCTGATACTGCTGCATAGAATACTACTGGTACTACTACTACATATACTACTGCTAGTACTACTACTACATATACTACTGCTAGTACTACTACTACATCTACTACTGCTAATACTACTACTACATATACTACTACTAGTACTACTACTGCATATAATACTACTAATACTACTACATATACTACTACTAGTACTACTGCTGCATATAATACTACTAATAATACTACTACATATACTACTGCTAGTACGTCTACTACTGCTAATAATACTACGACTGCTGCATATAATACTGATCATACTACATGTACTACTTCTAATACTGCTACTACATATACTACTGCTACATATACTGCTACTAGTACTACATCTACTACTGCATGTACTACTGATAATGCTACTACTACATCTACTACTACTGGAACTACTAATACATATACTAATACTACATCTACTACTGCTAAAACTACTACTACATATACTACTACATCTACGATTGCTAATACTACTGCCACATATACTACTTCTAATACAACATCTACTACTGCTAATACTACTATATATACTACTACTAACACTACAACTACTACATATACTACTACATCTACTACCATAAATACGACTACATATACTACGACTACATCTACCACTGCTAATACTACCACAACATCTACTAATACTACTACATCTACTATTACTAATACTACTACTAACACTACTACATATACTACTACTAATACGACTACATATACTACGACTACATATACTACTGCTAATACTACCACAACATCTACTACTAATAATACTACTACTAATACTACTACATCTAATACTACTACTACTACTACTACATATACTACTGTTGCTGCTAATACTACTTCTACATACAACACATACAACTACTACTGCTAATCCTACTACCACATCTACTACTACATCTACTACTAATAATACTACTACTACATATGCTACTACTACTGCATGTACTACTTTTAATACTACATATACTACTACTAGAACTATTACTAC